TTGAAGGTCAGCCGGTAGCTGAGAGTAGATAGGGAGAATAGAGAGCTTGGCTACAGCCTGCCTTGCAGAAGATACGAGTTGCTCCATTCGCTCAGCTAGAGCGTAACAAGTTGCTTCAATCTCATCTTGTCCAGTCATGAAGATAAGGATATCACCAGGAGGACTTGATATGTGAATAGTCATTGCCTGCTTCACAGCTGCTTCAACATAGTCTTCACAAGGTGTTTTGCTGTACAAAATGCTTACAGGGAAAGTCCTCCCAGGGATATGGAAGATTGGCACGCTGCAAAAATTGATGAAAAAAAATATGGTAGTCAATAACTGTGTGACACAAGTGGAAGACACTTAGCCGTGTGGACATATATAATATACAAAATCTTACCTTCCGAAAAAGTTGGAGAACTTCTCCGCATTCAGAGTTGCAGATGTCACAATAAGCTTGAAATCTCGTCGCTGAGCTACTACTTTTTTCAAAATTCCAAACAACACATCGGTACTTAGTGACCTCTCATGTGCTTCATCCATGACAACGACACTGAAATAACATATTTAACATATTAGATGTCGGACAAGCATAAGAGTAACTGATAAAATATAGAACTATCTGGTGTAGGAAATTCTTAAGATCAACACTGCATTTCACATCTGTAAGAAGAATCTCTTGCATACAAGTGTTTTGCAGCAAATGCATCAGCATATAATTGTACTTGTTTTGAACCTTTGTAGGTGCAAATCTTATATAATCCCCACCAAACATGCGACACTTCTACAATCAATCATGTAGACTTTTGACCAAGTTATTCAACAAGAACTTTGCAGAACTGGGACCAGACAAAAGCCAAGCTAATAAGGTGCAGAAAAAGAAATGAATAAAAAAATTAAGAGAAAAGTCTGCTGTTTAGCATTTCCATAATGTAATTATTACAAAAGAGACATATTCATAAGGAAGCTCTGGTAGAAATGCATTTAACTGCAGGTGGTTATAAGTTTTTTATATATAATTAGCTTCAGTGACTATGCTAGAACTTCTTTTGATTGGAAAAAAAATTTAATCAAAGGATCCGGGAGAATAATCTCATAGCATGAATATTGTTAGGATCTACAGGGATTACAATCCAAGTTCAGGTACAGTTAATAGCATTTTATTAACATATTGCCAAACAAAAAGAGTAAAATCAAATTTTACATATGGACAATAAATCAGATTTCAGGCAACCCATGCTTTGGAGACTCTAACCCCTTACCTCACCATACAAGATAATCCTCTCACCCTTGTTTCTTATCCTTGCAGTATATCTGGTTATTATCACTATTTATCCACAACTGGTAACAAGTGAACATTCTTCTCTTTTCATCAATTGTCTTATTTGCGCTGGAACAATAAGGTCCAACTTTCTGAGTCATAAGTTAACAGATAGAAAATGCATAAAAGTGACATTTCACACATGCTAGTTCATATATTATGCAAAAGAGCTACAAGGAACAACACCTAAGATGGTCACTCAAAAGCACTACCTTTTTTATTTACTCTTCTGAGGGACCAGTTTTTAGATTAATAAATATTCAGTCAAAAATATAGCTAGGCTTGTATAGACCAGATCAATTATTCAAACATGTTAAAACACATGAATGACTGTTGGCTCCCCCAAAGAGTCAGAAACAGAAAAGAGAAGAACTGTTATAGCATATGCACACAGACTAGATCACAACCTAGCTATGACAAATTTGGCACTATCCTAGAGAGATGAGATCAACCATATAGAACACAATGGGCAACTTAAAAGTAAAACATTAAGAGAGAATAAGGAAGACTCATAAAAATGATCCCAGCTATTAGCACAGTATATGATAAAGAAAAAATGTCAAATTATGTCATGATCAATGAGATGTTGAGGAAAGTGCAGTAAATATACCGGTACTTGTCAAGATCAGAGTCCTTTAGTGTTTCCCGAAGAAGTACTCCATCAGTCATATACTGTAGAGTTTC